CACATTATAAAAAAGATGTTGAGACTCTAGAAAAAGTGCAGAGAAGAGCAACCAGGATGATTAGGGGACTGGAGACTAAAACATATCATGAACAGTTACAGGAACTGGGCCTGGCTAGGCTAGTGAAGAGAAGGACCAGGGCAGACAGGATAGCAGCCTTCTAATATTTGAGGGGCTGCCACAGAGAGGAGTGGGGGAGGGTCAAGCTATTTTCCAAAGCCCCTGAAGGCCAGACAAGGAATAATGGATGGAAACTGAACAAGGAGAGATTCAACCTGGAAATAAGGAGAAAATTTCTGACAGTGAGAACAATCAACCAATGGAACAGAAGTAGCCTCTGGAAGTTGTGGAAGCTTCATCACTTGAGACCTTCAAGAAGAGATTGAACTGCCATTTGTCAGAAATGGTGTAGGGTCTCCCGCTTGGGCAGGGGTGGGGTTGGACTAGATGCCCTATAAAGTCCCTTCCATCTCTGATTATCTGTTATCTTTTTTCACTTGGATCACCTGTGCATTTCCAGCAAAGCAGCTGTTTGAGCAACATGGGTGGTTTAGCAATATGTAAAATAAATAAATAAATAACATGCATACATAAATGCATCAATACATTTCACAAGGATGGGGTGTTGCTTTCACAACCATCATCATCAGCCCTCGATCCCTTCCCTGTGGGACTCAATTGCTTTGGAGATAGTTTCTGGATTTTCAAGATGACGTTCCAAAGGAAGATAAATAGCAGTGGCAATAGCACTTAGACTTATATGCCACTTCATGGTGCTTTACAGCCTTCTCTAAGCGGTTTTACAGAATCAACCTCTTGCCCCCTCAACAATCTGGGTCCTCATATTACCGACCTTGGAAGGATGGAAGGCTGAGTCAACCTTGAGCCGGTCAGAATCGAACTGCTGGCAATCGGCAGTCTGCGGAATTGGCCTGCAGTACTGCATTCTAATCCCTGCGCCAATTCATCTTAAAATGGACTTCTACATTTCTTCTCTGTTTTTTATTTTTGTTCCTGCGGCAGCATCCTCCCCAACGCAACGTCACAATGACATCAAGTGCTTCATGACACCTTTACAAAATGCGATGAATTGGGATGTGCTTTTTTTAAAAGAAAACTTTAAAAGTTATTCTAACTGTACTGGAAACTTAACACACCATACTATTTTATATTTCGGCAATGTAATATTGGGACATGCTTTGAAGTCACGATAATTTTGTGGTGGGGTTTACATGCAGCTCATTGGCTCTGGGTTCTCAACCCCGGTTGTACTGTAAGCTTTGTCCTAACCATGGTTTCCAATCTTTTCTTCACCACGGACCCTCTTTAAATACCTGTTGTGGCTGCAGACACCCAAGACTCAAGATTTAAATCGTAACATTTTTTCAAGCCTTCGTGGACCCCCTGTGTACACATCGTGGCCCCTCCAGAGGTCCATGGACCACAGGTTGAGAACCACTGCTCTAAGACATAGCAAAGAAGACAGCGAGAAGCAGAGTAGCTAATACATTTTATTCAAAGGCATTGTCATGCTTCCAAAACCAACACAGACCAGTTTATAGAGTTACTTCTAAGCAGTTTATTATTCCACACTTATAGACAGAACTTCTAGGAGAGTCAAACTATTTTGACTCTCTTCCTCCCAATAATTCCTCCCAATTATCTACACTTTGTTGACTCTTATTCCTCTGGAATGCAGCCCCTCCCTCTTGGGAATCCAGACTATATTCCACCACAGGCATAAACTTAGATGAGTCTAGCCATAAGTTTACATCCAGCATCAGTCTGTGCCTCTACGCATGCTGCAGCTCCTAAAAGATTATGTGTCAACCCTGAAGCTGGCCTGACTGAGGCTATTTTGAGACTTGAGTGCTGACACACTGGAGAAGAGGAACAGTGAGGGGGGAATAGAGACAGTTGGGGTGTTGTAGTCAAAACAAAATGCTTTCTCTTGGGAACCAAGGACATTCCGGCTGGTGCTCAGAAGGAGAGGACTGGAGTCACCTAGCAACTGGTACAGTATCCTGATTGGACTACGTGACTGATTGTTTTGAGAAAATGAAAAACTTTTACTTTTAATTAGGTGAAAACTGCGGGAATATTCAGAGTCAGTTTTCACCAGTCTGTGCCAAGATGACATACCCAATAAAATTATTCTTTGAGGAATCTACCTGCCTCAGAGTTTTGTTTGCTATGGGTATGTTCTGGGTTGGGATTCAAAAATCCCAGCAACCGGTTCGCTGCCCAGTTGCTGTGTGGGCGTGGCCATGGTGGGCGTGGCCTACTGGAACTTCCAGGAGGGCTGTTTTTCACCTTCCCAAGGGTCCAGAGGCTTCCCTTGGGCCTCTGGGAGGGTGAAAATGGCCTCCCCCAGGCTCTGGAGGCCCCCGGAAGCCGGAAACAGGCCTGTTTTGCCACTTCCAGTACTTCCAGTTTGGCTATTTTTTGCCTTCCCAAGTGTCCAGAGGCTTCCCTCAGGCCTCTGGGAGGACGAAAATGGCCTCCCCTGGGCTCTGGAGGCCTCCAGAAGCCAGAAACAGGCCTGTTTCTTGACTTCTGGTAGAGCCGTTTTTCACCCTCCCAGAGCCTTCACATGGGCCCTGCACTTACCTGCATCCAAATGTGGAGACTCCAAATGTGGAGACTCCAGGGAGTGGAGGGGCAGGGTGGGCAGGGCCATTTGGTTGGTTCAAATACTGGTTTGGTGAACCAGGTGCAAATTTAACATCCAGTTCACCTGAACCGGTCTGAACCGGTAGAATTCCACCCCTGGGTATGTTACTTGGAACCTTGTTCTGGCCCAAGCCTCGTTCAAAGCAAAGAAACACAGAGATAAAAGCAAATCCTTTTAAATGCTTCTCTGTGAATTCCGTTCATTCACAGTAAAATACTATTAAAAACTAATTGTCCCAGATAAAAACAAGCCTTGCCAAGATTGTACAAGGCTGCTAAGAACACTAGATTAAATTGCAAGGAAATAATCAAAGCCAAACGTCTCTCCAAACGCAAACCAGGATAGTCCAAACTTCCACAAAACTTGAAGTGCAAGAACTTCTTTGCTTCCTGCAAAGAATCCCACCTCTGAGGGCTGGCTTTTATCCCTTAAGGGAGGGGCCATCACCTTGCAGCCTTACTCCTGAGTCGCTCATGCTGCTGCAGCTGCACTTTCCTTTAAGCAGCCCTGCGCACACACGCACTGGGCACAGGCTCCTTGGGAACCTCTTCATCATTGCTGCCAGCCTCCACAATCTCTGAAGGCAGCACTCTACTCCCTGATGGTCCTGGCGCCATCCCTGCATCACACGCAGGCCCCTCGTCTGAGTCCTTGCTCTCCGAGACCTCAGCCATCCGCACCTGCTGCCGGTGAACCACAACAAACCCTGACGTTATGCCTTTCGGTACAATTTGTTAGCGGGAAAAAGGACCTTCCAGAATCTTTTTGATTTGAGGCCATCTTAGACCCAAGTATTATGTCAAACAAATATCATCCTACTGCGTTTAAGAAAAGACAGGGTAATCGGTAGGTTTTGGCAAATATGACATCCCTCTTCTTTTCTTATTCGCTGTCTCAGCCGTAAGATGAGTCTTGGGGAGAGGACAAACCCCTCCTAGCAATCTTGGAGCAATTTCTCTTTTCTGTGTTCTTTGATAGAATCTCCAGCTGGGTTTAATCTTAAGGTATGTGAAGGACATCAAATAAGCGGGTTGCTTCATCTGAATTTTTCTCTTTTTAAGTATTGAGCTATGTCACCCTGTCCATCATGCTTCCCAGTCTCCCTTTATCTGCAAAGTCTTGAAAGTTGCAGAGGGTGAGATTTTGCAGGTTTCTCTGAATCCGTTACCATTCTTCTTCCTCACTAAGAATGCATACAGGTAGTCCTCGGCTTGGCGACCATAATTCGGCCCCAGATTTTTATTCCTAAACGAGACAGATGTTAAGTGGGTTTTGTCCCATTTTACGACCTGTCTTGTCACCAGTTGTTCAGGGCATCAGTAACTTGTTAAGTTAGTTACAAGGTTGTTAAGTGAATCTGGCTTCCCCATCGACTTTGCTTGTCAGAAGGTCACAAAACGGGATCGCAGGAGTCTGGGACACTGCAATCGTCATAAATACGAGTTGGTTGCCAAGCCTCTGAATTTTGATCACGTGACTATGGGGAATGCCACCACGGTTGTAAGCGTGAACAATAAGTCACTTTTTTAATGCTGTTGTAACTTTGAACCGTCACTAAATGAATGGTTGTACATCGAGGGCAATCCGTAATTCATAGAATGTTGAACTGGTTGAAGGATTCTAAAGATCCTTTTTTTACTTTGTATTGTTATATTATAAGTGGTCATTAATTTTCATGATTTAGTGATTTTTGTTTCAATCATAGTATAGAAGTTTCAATTAATTCTTCTTTTTATCAAATAATAATGTATTACTATTAATACATTAATGTATTATTATCATCATCATCCTATTACCTATCTCTTCCTACTTATGACTATAATCGTGTTGCTTGTATCTTTACAATTTATATTTTATTTTTATTTTATTTATTTTGATTTGTCAATCACTTACAAGATAATAAGTATAAGTATATACATAGTTACGAATATTGTTTTATTTGTTTCCTAGTATGATTTGATTGCTTGTTAGTAACCTACCACTAAGTGAAAGAATTCTTTCTTTCTTTCTTTCTTTCTTTCTTTCTTTCTTTCTTTCTTTCTTTCTTTCTTTCTTTCTTTCTTTCTTTCTTTCTTTCTTTTTCTTTCTTTCTGCCTGCCTGCCTGCCTGCCTGCCTGCCTGCCTGCCTGCCTGCCTATCCTCTGCAGTTTTGAGACACATTCAGAGAGTGATGGAATATAGAGTTATTATTAAATAAAAACATAACTTCTTCTTCAGTGGGAGAGAGATATAAAATGAGCTTGAAACTCCGTACAATCTTTTGGCCTTTGGTGTCTTACCTCTATTTCATTTGCTTCCTCCCCCGCTTTCCTCTGTCAATGATTAGGATCAAAGTCTCGTCGTACCAGCTGGAAAATGTTGTCCGGAGTGTGCTCCAAAACCCTGCTTTGCATTTGGGACATTATACCAGGTAACCTTCAGATAAAATGCCACAAGGACGAATTTGATGTGCATTTTTCTTTGTCCCTCTTCCTCTACTTGAAATTTTAACTTCAGAAACAAACTATTCACTGCGCTTTCTTCCTGGGAAGCCCAATGAGTTGAAAAGGATCAAAAGAAGGAAGGAATGTTCTGGCAAGATTGAATGGGGGCCTATCAACTAAGGCAAATAAGACGGTTCTTGAGTGAAGTGGAGAAAAGGGCCGTGAACTCAGATTGGCTTCCTGGCTGAGAAGGGTGCATTTGACTAGCACCCTAACCGTGACTTCTGGTGGGCATTGGCAGTCAAAACGGACAGAATGCAAGCAGTCCTCGATTTACGGCTACGGTTGAGCACCAAATTCCCATTTTCTAAGCAGGACAGTTGTTAAGTAAATTTTGCCCCCATTTTACGAGCTTTCTTGCACAATTGTTAAGTGAATCACTGCAGTTGTTAACTTAGTAACAGCTGTGAGATATGGGATGGGCGGCAAATAAATTTTATAATCGATAGATATAGAGAGAGAAATTGAGAGAGAGATAGAAATAGATTTGAGATAAGTAAATAGTAGATAGATGATAGATTAGATGGATGGATGGATGAATGGATGGATAGATAGATAGATAGATGAGATAGATAAGGTAGATGATAGATGGATGTAGAGATAGAATAGATTAGAGATAGATGATAGATTAGATAGGTAATTAGATAGATAAATGATAGATAAGATAGATGATACAGATAATAGGTAGATAAGATAGATAATATAGATGATAGATAGATGGATGTACAAATAGAAATACATTAGAGATAGATAGTAGATAGATGATAAGATAGATGATATAGATGATAGATAAGATAGATAGGATAGATAAGATAGATATAGATGATGGATAGATATATAGATAGGATAATATAGATAAATAGATGATATCGATCATAGATAGATAGATAGATAGATAGATGTAGAGATAGAAATAGATTAGAGATAGACAGATGATAGATAGATTAGATAGATAATTAGATGATTGATAAGATAGATGTAGATGATAGATAGATAAGATAGATAATATAGATGATAGATGGATGTACAAATAGAAATAGATTAGAGATAGATAGTAGATTATAGATAAGATAGATGATAGGTAAGATAGATAAGATAGATAGGTAGATATATAGATGATAGATATATAGATAAATAGATGATATAGATAATAGATAGATAATATAGATAGATGATAGATAGACGGATATAGAGATAGAAATAGATTAGAGATAGGTAGATGATAGATTAGATAGATAATTAGACATAGATGATAGATGATATAGATGATCGATAAGATAAAATAGATAGATGATATAGATGATACATAGATAAGATAGATAGATGATAGATAGATAGATAGATAGATAGATAGATAGATAGATAGATAGATAGATAGATGCTTGCATACATAAGTTGTTAAGTGAATCTGGCTTCCACATTGACTTTGCTTATTAGAAAGTTGCAAAAGGAGATCATACGACTCTGAGACACCACAACCGTCATAAATATGAGCTGGTTGCCAAGCGCCCAAATATTGATCACGTGACCCTGGGGATGCTGCAGCGGTCATAAGTGTGAAAACTACTCAAAAGCCACTTTTTTTCTGTGCCTCCTAACGTCAAAAAGTCACTAAACTAATGGTTGTAAGTCAGGGACTACCTGTACATGCCAGTTGCCAAGCGACCAAACTTTGACCGTGTGACCCTGCATGGGGGATGCTGCAGCAGTCGTAAGGGTGAAACCCTGAGCCCTGAGTCACTTTTTTTTTCCAGAGCTGGCATTAACTTTAAGTGGTCACTAAACAAATGGTTGTAAGTCAAGGACCAGCCTTCGTTCAAATGCTTTTCTTTGTTATGCAGCCTGGGGACGAGTGGAAGAAAGATGCTTGCACAACCTGCGTATGTGACGGAGGAGAATCCAGGTGCTTTACGAAGAGCTGCCTCCCACTGAATTGTCCAAAGGTAAATTCCTAAGCTTAAAACTTGGGAGATTTTTCTGGGAAATTTTCTCCCCCGCTTCTCATGTCTCCAATCTTCCACTTACTCGCATCTTCTCAGGACGAAGACAAAGCGCGGCGCCCAGGGAAATGTTGTGAAGAGTGTGTCCTTTCCAAGGGCAGCTGTGTGCACAACGGCACCCTCAGATACCACCAGGACATGTGGCACGATATGGACTGTAACTTCTGTAGCTGTGATGGAGGCCGGGTTGCTTGTCGGAAAGTCAAGTGTGCCAAAGTGGACTGTGGCCAGGTAAAGAATTTCCAAGTTAGCTGTCAGGATTCCGGCAGTTATCCCCATTTAAATCGTGAGTCTCGAGCCAAACTTCTAAAACTTCAAAAGGATTTATTGGGAGTTTAGAGAATTTAATAAAAAGAAAAATAACAGACTGTGACAACCAAGACCTGTAGAAGGTTTCATTGTAAGATATTTGCAAATACCGGACTCCGCCTTCCAATAACAGATTAGGAGATGGATATACCCCCTTAGAGTAATTACAGCCTTATATAGGTTTTTACATTTAAAAAATTACATAGTACTTCCTGTTTTTCGCACATAGGAGTTATAGTGACTTCCATAAGAAAGAAATGAGTAGTCCTGGGTGTTTTTCCATAAGTCCTCCCAAACTTCTTCCATGGAAATCTCCTAGCTCGTCTCATCTTCATCATCAGATTTCCTGTTTTTCACTTAGAAGATCACACAGTAGATCATTAACAGACTTCTAATGTCAGGGTGACCTAGTATGAAATCTCAAATCAAGCCAAGGACATAATATTTTGTAACTTTGCAGAACTTTAGCAAAATAACAAGTTATACAAATGTTCTGATATCTAGAATGCCAGATTAAGAACAAATATGGAGTCTCTCTGGTTATATATATTCTTAGGTGTACTAGGCAAATTTTCTCATGTAACAGGAGTTAACATGTCCGGCACTGCCTGGGTATAGCTGACTCTGAGACACATAATTCATTGTCACCCTTGACCCTGGTTTTCCCTCAACCCCTGGGTGTATCATAATTTATATTCTCCAATGGGACACATCCATAGCCAAGAGTCATCAATCAGGCTCTCCAGTTAGAATTTTGTGCGGCAGAAACTTCAGTCACCTAGTTACTATCTTTGAAAACATTCATGGAATGCGGTTTCAGTTTGCAAGCTGCCACACTGCTTTCCCCTCCCTTTCTGTTGGCAATTCTAAAAAGACCATAGAAATATTTTATGAGTTGACATTATCTCTATGTTTCGCTTATTCAAAAGATTTTTTAAAAAGTGGCCTTTCTTATTCAAGTTCCTGGAAACACCAGATACAGAAATAATTGGTTTTCAGATTGAATAATAAAACAACACAGTTGGAAGGTGCCTTGGAGGTCTTCTAGTCCAACTCCCCTTCTCAAGCAGGAGACCCTACACCATTTTAGACAAGTGGCTGTCCGGTCTCTTCTCAAAAATCTCCACTGATGAAGCCCCCACAACGTCTGAAGACCATCCGTTCCACTGGTTAATTGTTCCCACTGTTAGGTAATTTCTTCTTAGTTCTAGGTTGGTTCTCTCCTTGATCAGTTTCCATGTCTTCATTTTACCCACCTCAGAAGGATGGAAGGCTGAGTCAACCTTGAGCCTGGTGAGATTTCAACTGCCAAATTGCAGGCAGCCGGCAGTCAGCAGAAGTAGCACTCTGACCACTGAGCCTTCTTCTCTGAGACTCCACCTTCTTCTCCTTCCTTCTATCTTTCCCAGCCTTGGAGTCTTCTAGGATTTTGTTTGCAGTAGGACAATTTGAGCCTTGTCCAGAAGGGGTGTTTTATGTCCCTGACGGAATTTAGGAGGCCATATCCCCAACTCCTTGAAAACATTAAAGAACCCCAATCCTTCCCCTTCCAGCGCTGCTGTTACCTCACCTCACTGCCTTGTAAAAGCTTCAATTATTAACGAATTCCTTGTTCGAGTCTTGTAGAAAAAAAAATGCAATTCTCTGTCCATTGGCTTGAACTGAAGCCGACCTCTCAAGGGTTTTGCACTCTTCTCTTTCCCATAAAAGAGTAGCTTGTTCAAGAGAGATTGTGACCCTTTCATGAACCAAGAGAGATCTCCTTGACTTGAACAATGAAGCCAGTACACAAAAGTGAAATTGGGAGGCCTGCAGTGAATTTAAATGAAGCAGGAGAGCCGGGGCTGCCCAGGTAAAGGACTGGATCCTGTAGCATTTCTTTCTAGGCCTCTCCATTGAGATGAACCTATGGCCTGTATCCAGTTTTCATCACTCCATTATAAGAAGAGATGGGCAGAGAAGAGCAACAAAGATGATTGGGGGTCTGGAGGCTAAAACATATGAAAAACAGTTGCAGGAACTGGGTATGTCTAGTCTAATGAAAAGAAGGACTAGGCATCCCTAATTCTTCTTTTCATTAGACTAGACATACCCAGTTCCTGCAACCGTTTTTCATATGTTTTCATATGTTTTTGCCTCCAGACCCCCAATCGTCTTTGTTAGCAGACCCCCTATCATCATGAAAGCAGTGTTCTAATATCTCAGGGATTGCCACAAAGATGAGGGAGTCAAGCTATTCTCCAAAGCACCCGAAGGCAGGACAAGAAGCAATGGGTGGAAACAAATCATACATTGCAATGTCCTACCTGTCAATGAATACTTCAGCTTCAACCATAACAACACAAGAGCAAAACAATAGATACAAACTCAAGGTTAACCGCACCAAACTTGACTGCAGAAAATACGACTTCAGCAACAGAGTGGTCAATGTCTGGAATCCTCTACCTGACTCTGTGGTTTCTTCCCCAAACCCCCAAAACTTTAACCTTAGACTGTCTATTATTGACCTCACCCCTTTCCTAAGAGGCCTGTCAGGGGCGTGCATAAGGCACCAACGTGGGTACCGTCCCTGTCCTATTGTTTCTTTTATTTTTCTTATATGTATCCATTTCATGTGTTCCTAACTATGTATATACTTATACCTATTATCTTGTAAGCGATTGACAAATCAAAATAAATCAAAATAAATCAAAATAGTTTAATGAAAAGAAGAACTAGGGATGGCATGGTAGCAGTGTTCCGATATCTCAGGGGCTGCCACAAAGAAGAGGGAGTCAAGCTAGTCTCCAAAGCCCCTGAGGGCAGGACAAGAAGCAATGGGTGGAAACTAACCAAGGAGAGAAGCAACCTAGAACTAAGGAGGAATTTCCTGACATTTAGAACAATTCATCAGTGGAACAACTTGCCTCCAGACCTTGTGGGTGCCCCATCACTGGAGGTTTTTAACAAGATACTGGACAATCACTTGCCCGGGTTTCCTGCTTAAGCAGGGGGTTGGACTGGATGGCCTCAAAGGTCCTTTCCAACTCTGTTATTGTGTTCTGCTCTGTCCTAACCCTTTGTGGACTTTGTAAGATGAGGAATTAGGGGAGTCTTGGAAACTAATCTTATGGCGACTTGTATGGCAAAATGAGATCATGTCTGGCTATGACTTGAGTCCCTAACTCAGATTCTATAGTATAACTTCCCTACTGCCGGAGAATAGCACAGTCAGAGAAGTGAGAGCCTCAGAAATTTTTTAAAAAATAAATTAAAATAAAATACAATTGCTGTGAGAGTTACTGTTGCTTCTAATCAGACCCGGGTTCTTATGAGGTCCAGGCCAGAGGTACGTCATGGGAGCAGATCTTGAACTTTTATGGAAGGTTTGTGGTGAGGTTGTGTGAATCAAAGATACAAGTGCTGTGTTCAGCACCCTAGAGCAGGGGTCTCCAACCTTGGCAACTTGAAGACTTGGGGACTTTGACTCCCAGAATTCCTCAGCCAGCAAAGATTTAAGACCAGCGGACTTCAATTCCCAGAATTCTTCAGCCAGCAAAGCTTTAAGACCAGCGAACTTCAATTCCCAGAATTCTTCAGCCAGCAAAGCTTTAAGACCAGTGGACTTCAACTCCCAGAATTCCTGAGCCAGCAAAGCTGGAATTCTGGGAATTGAAGTCCACACATCTTCAAGTTGCTAAGGTTGGAGACCCCTGCCCTAGAGTATTTAATGGATGGAGATTGTCCTGTGGGAAAGAGGTAGACAAGAAAATTGCAACCTCCAGTAGTTACAATTCAATCCACGAAACTGGATTCTCCACTTTCTCCCATGAGTTTTGACCTAGTTGTCAGTGTTGTGGCATTTCAAGGAGAGCTTGTGTGCGGTCTTCGTAGAGTCACAGTGATACTTATCTTTTTGGAAGGGAACTCAGTGATGGAACGAGTGATAAAATAGGATTTTAAAGACTGTGTCCTGGGGGGTGGGGGGGGAAAGGCCGTTTCCCCCAACCTTTCTCTCGGTATCATTAAAAAAAAAAAAGAGCTGATTCTAGTTATCTTATTGTAATGCTCAATTTCTTTGCAGGGTGAAGAATTATTTCATTTACCAGGCAAGTGCTGCCCTGAATGCATTTCAAGAGGGGCCCCCTGTGTTTACAAAGAATCTACCAAAGACGTAAGTAGCTTGTTGATTTAGCACATGTAGAGTTGCCAACGCAGATGTTGGCTAGGGAAAAAAAATATTCAGTAGCATAGAAGCACGTAATAAATGTTGGGCTGTTAGTGCAGACTTTGTAATAGTTGAACAGTGTTGAGGGAATTATTCGTTTAGCAGAGTGATGGTGTTCAGGAAAAAACTCCCCTTGTGTCTAGTTGTTCTGGTGTGCAGTACTCTATAGCGTCGTTTTGAGGGAAGGAGTTGAAACAGTTTATGTCCGGGATGTGAAGGGTCTGTAGATATTTTCACAGCCCTCTTTTTGACACGTGCAGTGTACAGGTCCTCGATTGAAGGCATTAATTGTTTTTCCTGCAGTCCTAATTATCGTCTGAAGTCTGTGCCTCTCTTGCTGGGTTGCAGAACCAAACCAGACAGTTATAAAGGTGCCGATGATAGACTCAATAGCTCCTCTGTAAAACTGGATCAGCAGCTCCTTGGGCAGTTTTAGATTTCTGAGTTGGCGCAGAAAGAACTTTCTATGTTGTGCTTTTTTTGATGATGTTTTTGATGTCACTTTTTTCAGTGCCGTTGTAAACTTCGGTCATTAAAAAAATTGTTGTAGGTTGAGGACTATCTGTAGACTGTACGCACACAGTTTGGAGTTTTGCCTTGCACCACCTGTGAACCAAGAACAAGGCTCAGGCAAGTTAGGAAATTTAATAATCTCAGCCCACTCAACTTCTGCATCATTTTACACTTCAAGGATATTTTCTTTTACAAAGGGACAGGGAAAAAGATATATATATATATATATATATACACATACATACATACATACATACATACATATATATACACATATACATATACATACATACACATATACATATATACACATATACACATACACACACACACACACACACACACACACACATGCACACACAAACACACATATGACAGCTAAGTGGGGCTTTGAACCGGGAAAGGAAGAAGCTGGAACTAAAGATTTAACTAAATTGGACTAAAATATTTTGGGAATAAACAGGCATAAAATAAAGCTGGACTTAAGATTGTCAAAAAATAATAATAATCAAGTTTACAAATTGGAGACTGGACTGTGCTGGAATATTGAGGTTTGAAAAACCCTAAATAAAAAAATGGGGGAAAAAGGTGAAGACTTTGTGTAATGGAGAGTGCCACCTTTTGACAAAAACTTGAGCTCAAACAAAAAGGAAAGCATCCTGTTTCTGAATGGACTTGTGTGGATATAACATTAAAGAAATATTGAAATAAAGTAAGAATCTTAGAAATTGAAAGCAGAACCAGAATAAAGAAAAAAACAAGGAAAGACTGACTGTGGGATTGATTGATGTTTTTGGTATAGATCCTGGGCTGGAATAACTGAGAACTTTAGAAAATTGAAAGAAGAAAGAAGGAAAGTAAAAGTGGGTTTTTGGGGGGGACTTTTAACGATCAAAAAATATAAGAGTGTGTAATGATGATATCTCTTCGGGAATTAAAAATGGAACTTAAAAATATGAGAGAATTATTACAGGAAAGAGGCGAATCACTTTGCTCTGTGTTAGAAAAAATGGAAATGGCGATTGAAGAACAAGAAGAAAGAGCTTCAGAGGAGGAGGAATCGATTCAAGGAGAAGGCATTTTAAATAGACAATTAACACAAAGAACACTACAAAGAAGTGGGGAAAGAAGGAAGGTTAAAAAGTTGAGATTTAAGAAGGCAATCAAAAGGGGGAATACCTGTGAAGTCGGGAAAGGCAGAAAGACCCAGCAGAAAAGGGGAAAGGAAGGTATTAAGAAAGAGGGGGATATAAACTGGAATGAGAAAAGATATGGGGAAAAGAGGGGGAGGAGAAGCAGTAAGAAACAGGTGCATGAAATAAAGAAATATAGAAATAGTAAAATGTTGAAAAGAAATTGCTTTTTCAGAGATAATGGTTGATGAATTAAAAAGAGGATTCTGCAGGGTGACAAGGGGTAATAAGAATATTTCTGCAATTAGAAATATTTAGAGAATAGGGTAATATAGATACTGATAACTCTTATTAAAAATCAAGGGGGGAAAATATGCTGCGGAATCCAAGTGAAAAGATATAATGATTATTATTGTAACTTCTTAAAAATAATGGTTTATTGGGAATTAAGATGAGGAAATAAAGGTATATTTTAATCATTCAGGTGTCACGCTTAAAACAGTAAAAGGGGGGGAAACCTATACTTGTTTTTTTTTAGTGTTAAAATTTGTATTAATCTAGAATTTATAAAAAGAATGTGTAATAGAAAGGGAATATGACAGACTAAAGAACCAACTAAATTAATAAGTTAATATAGACTATTAAAAGTAAGGAGAGACATTGGTAACTAATTATTATTATTATTATTAGGCAAACACATATTGTTTATTTTTAAAATAAATATTAAAGGATTATATTTGTAATAATTGAAACAAAACAAAAAGATGTTGCAGTTGAGATTAATGAAAGAGGCTAGATTTAATGTGTTTGTTTCTCTCCTTACTGAAAATTTGGAATGGAAAAGGTAATAATAGAATTAAGTAGGCATATATGAATGTATAATTGCTGTCATATTTGTATGTAAAGGTGATGACCCGGAAACATGTTGTCCACTAAAAAGAGATTTTTGTTTTTAATGTGAAAAACTGAATAAAGTTTGTTAAAAAAAAAAAGATATTTTCTTGTTCTCCGGGCTATGCATGAAGCATTGAAAGCTCTACTCAGCAGAATACAAGTTGCGGAGAGCAGATTTCACAGAATGAAGCTAATCACATTTGTAGATTTGTAGGTTTTGCTCTTCCCAGGCCAGTAAGTCCGGCATTTAAAATCATTTGCTTGCTCTCTTGGAGTAGCAGAATCTGCCTGCTTCATGCTGTTAGTACAGGATTGTAAAACAGCATTGCAGAGCTAAACACAATCCCTGTGCTCTCCAAACAGAGAGTTTATATTTCTGGATGAAACCTGTTTAGCCGTACTATTATGTCTGTCTGCAAATTTCCTGATTTTAGAAACAATCATATACATCCAAATGAACTTGTCCTCATTTGTAAGGTTGAATCAGTGGTGGGATTCAAATTTCTTTTACTACCGGTTCTGTGGGTGTGGCCTGGTGGGTATGGCATGACTTGGGTGGCCATGGCTTGGTGGGCGTGGCAGGGGAAGGATACTGCAAAATTTCATTCCCTTCCCACCCCACTAACCTGCTTTCCAGCTCCGTTCTCCTGTGCAGGGCAACCAAAGAAGACCCAGCGGATAAGCTGGGACTCAGAAGACAGAGAATAGAGAGGGGCGGGGCCACTCAGAGGGGGTATTCTGAACTACTCAAAATTTCTACTACCGGTTCTCGAAACTACTCAAAATTTCTGCTACTGGTTCTCCAGAACGGGTCAGAACCTGCTGAATACCATCTCTGGGTTGAATAGGTAACACAGGCGTGAACACAGGCATTATAATTTAAACAAAATTGATTCCGTGTGTGTGTGTGCTTGTATCGACTGCATTGTTTGCAGACATTTGGTTGTACAAATACAGCTGCTAACGTTGTTATTCCTTGGTTCCAAATTAGTATAATGCAGATATTTAAGATTTTAAAAAGTGCTGTAAAAGATTATGGAGCAGCGTAAGCCCACTCGACCAAACCAGCAACGGAGAGTAAACTTTTCAAATATCTCTTAAGACCTATGCCTTTGCCTTGGAGAGGCACTGCTAGAAACTTCACGTGGCCTTCACATTATCCCTTTGTTGAGCTGGGTCTAGGGAGGCAGACAATAGATGGGGGCAGGACCAGTCAGAAGTGGTATTTGCTGGTTCTCCAGAACTGGTGAGAACCTGCTGAATACGACCTCTGATGTACAGTATGCTGCTTCTTGCTGCTCAGGAGACTGAATGATAGTCAATAGAATTGGAAAACTGTGATAAATCGCAGCCTCTATTTTTTTTTTTTTCTTCATGCAGAGTGGTGAAAAATGGAAGGAAGGCCTGTGCCGTGAATGTGAATGTTTGGACTCCAAAGTAAACTGCTATTCTCAGTCTTGTCCGACGTGTCCCACAGGAACTGTGGCTATTGCTGTGCACGGAGAGTGTTGCCCTCAATGCAAGCCAGGTATTTGCAAAACGGTGCTTTTGCTTTTGAAGTGTCTAGTCTTAACGTATTTATTCCTCTTAACTCAGAAGAGGGTCTGTACGTTGAAAAGTGTTTGGTTTAAAACGGGGGTGGTGGTGGTCCAACTTTAGCAACTTTTAAGACCTGTGGACTTCAACTCCCAGAATTCTCCAGCCAAGAAAATTTAAAGAAACATGTCCATGAGGATCCCGGAGCTCAAACTTGATTTCAAGGAGATGTAACAATCCACTTCTTGTGATGGAATGTAAAGATGAAGGAGAAGTGGGGGGAATATTGACAGTAGCACTGTGGCTTCCTTGGGAGGCAGCATAACCCAGAGAGGAGCCCAAGACAAGAGGCTACAGAGTCCTGAATTGGATGGTGGGGTGAGAACAAGGTATAGAGAGTAGCCACAGCCTGAAATCTCTCAGGGTATGTCTACTATTTTGGAAGGTTATAACTTTAGCCTGGCAAGATTCTGTCCGTTAAGTGTAAGCACCGGGTTATCATTGGGGATTGGGCCTGACACTTCTTTCCCTGTATTGTTTCTATAAGTAAGGGGTCATTAGTGCTCTCTTTTCTTGCAAACGTTTCAGTATCCAAACTAAGTAACCTCATCAGGGTAGCGCTAGGACTAGTACTGATGACCTAGTTTGGGTAATGAAACATCTGCAAGAAAGACGAGCAACCTCAGAGAGCACCAAGGACCCCTCGTGTCAACCGTGAGCTACAAATATAGAGTAGAATAGAATGGAAAATAGAATAGAATAGAAAATTAGAATAGCATAGAGTAGAGTAGAATAGAATAAAATAGAAAATAGAATAGAATAGAACAGAATAAAATTCTTTATGGATCAAGTGTGATTGGACACAGAAGGAATTTGTCTCTGTTGCGGAAGCTCTCGGAGTACATATAAGCAACAAGTGATAAATCCTGATCATAATCATCATACAATCATCATACATTTCAAGGGGGGACTAACTTGGTGGAGAAGAAGCTTGCTTGTCCTTTTTGGTGGGGGGTTGTTTGCCACGCAGCAAAAGCATCCTTCTACCTGAGCAGGTGAGCCCATCCTGCCCTTCCTCACCCCAAATAAAGTTGTCTCACTGTCATGATAGGTGCCTGCCATCCCGATTGCTTGACCTGCACCCGGGCGTTTGATCGTTGCGATGCCTGCCGAGAGTCCACCAAGTTTCTCCTGAACGGGCGTTGCGTTGATAGCTGTGGGGTTGGCTTCTATCCGGATGGGGACCTTTGCCTGGGTAAGATTAGCCTCCAATCTGCTTTGTGATATTGAAGCTTCTTGCTCTGTAGGTGATGCTGAGACGTTTCAGAAGATGGCCCGTGGCTTCTGGGTGTTAAAGAAGATAAAATTATTTGGAAGATGTGTGTCTTTCACAAACAACCCTTTCATTGCTCTGCTTCTCCTCTAAGGGAGCTCCCACAAGGCAGTTCAAAACAACCTTCTTCATCCTAGCATAGGGGTGTCACATTCAAGGCCCTTGGAGTCCTTAGATCTGGCCTGCAGGGCAGCCCCAGAAACAGTGAAGGACCAGCCTGGGGTGCTTCTGTCAGCAAAACTGAAGCCCTCCCAAGCCCGTTTTTGCCGGCAAAAGGTTGCAGGAGACCATCCCAGCCGAAAATGGAGCTCGGGAGCCCATTTTCTGTGGCAGAGCGCTTGGCCACCACAGGTGCCCCCGACACAAGTGATGTCAAGCTGGGTCCGCCCACCCTGGCCACACCCACCTTGGCCCCAGAGGTCAAACACAACCCTGATGGAGCTCTCAATGAAATCGAGTTTGACACCCCTGTCCTAGCGTATTCCCACAGGTGCAGGGTCTGCTTTTTGGATCCTTGAGCTCCACTTTCCACGGTCAGCTGCGTCTCCAGAGCGCAGACCCATGGCTTGCATATCTTTGTTGATGGTGTCTTGCCATCTCTGTTTTGGGCGCCTGCGAGGTCACTGGCCATCGACTTCTCGTTGGTAGGCAGTCTTGGCCATGGTGAAAGGTGAACATATCCATACCAGCTGAGCCGGCCTTCTCTCCTCTTCTCTGTAATTGGTGCCATAACAAAATGATGTCGAATGGTGTCATTTGTGATGTGGTCGAGAAGGGAGATGCCCAATATCCAATGGAGCATTCACATTTCCATGGCATGGAGAGAGCTTTCGGTCCCTGTTGTTGCTGCCCAGCATTCGGTGCCATACAGTGCAACAGGGTGGATGGTTGTCTCGTAAATCTTAGATGTAAGGCGGGTTGGCTTTCGTCTGTCCCACAACATACTGGTGAGTCCTTGCCAGCACATCCAGGCTGCATTCATCCTAGCTCCCACCTCGCCATTGGTGTCGTGATTGCCTTGGAGGAGGGATCCCAGATTCCGAAAAATGTCCACCTTCTTTAGCTTTTCTCCATTGATTTAAAGACAGTTCAAAACAATCAACATAGCAATACATAAGGTAAAGGTTCTCCTCGCACATACGTGCTAGTTCTTTCCGGCTCTAGGAGGTGGTGCTCATCTCTGTTACAAAGCTGAAGAGCCAGCTCTGTCCGAAGACGTCTCTGTGGTCATGTGGTTGGCAAGACTTAATGCCGAATGCGCATGGAACGCTGTTACTTTCCCACCAAAGTGGCCCCCATTTTTCTACTTGCAATTTAAAAGGTTTCAAACTACTAAGCTGGCAGAAGCTGGGACCAGTAACGGGAGCTCACTCCATTATGTGCTGCTAGGGATTTGAGCCGACCTTTCTGGTCGACAAGCTCAGTGTCTTAGCCCCTGAGCCACCACAGCAATAGATAGAAAATATTAAGGCCCAGGATAAAATATTTCAAACAAACAGCATAATCAGGAAGATTAATCCTCACAAAAGCCTGATGGAATGGCAATAATAACTGATTGTCTGATTTCAGTTAAATCAAATCAATATTTATTGCAGTCATAGGCCAGTGTATTGTACCAATCTTCAATATACACTTGGCTTGTCAGCAATGCGTTTTCTTTTTTTCCTTTTTTTTTTTACTGGTGCTCATACCTGGGGGATCTTTGAAATCCCTGATCAGCAACTGGCAAGCTGCATCATGGATCCCAAAGATCTGACTCAGAAGAAAATCAAATTCGAAACCGTTTTTTACAACCTTCTTTTTCTTTTTGTTTTTTTTTCTTCCCCGCCTCGGGCAGCTTGTAAAGAGATGTGCTCAACTTGTACTAATAAATTTGGATGTACTTCCTGCCAAGCTTCGCTGCATTTGAAGGATGCTCAGTGCGTGACGTCATGTGGGGAAGGGTTTTTCCCGGGACCTCTCCAGTGCACAGGTAAGAAATACCTGTGCTAGATAATCTGAACTCTACCCATCTCCGAACAGAAAAAATGAGGTCAAGGAGGGGTTGAATAACAATGAATGAAATTGCAAAAAAAGATAATGCAAAAGTCTACATGCTTCCTTGTTAAATTCTTAGCACAATGCTCAATGATGGAGCTCCTATATCGGGCTTGATATAAAGTGCTTAATAGAACCAGCCTATCTCATCTGTACCTTCCCCTAAATTCTCTTTAGCTAGAATAGAATAAAAGAGTAGAGTAGAGTAGAGTAGAACCGGACAGGACCGGACTGGACCGTAATAGAAGTAGAAATAAAAATAGAAATAGAATACTTTATTGGCCAAGTGTGATAGGCACAAAACGACTGTCTCCAGTGCATAAACTCTTAGTGTAGCCACAAAACAACACAGTAATAATAATCATAATTATGATACCAATAAGAGAAGATAGTGAACAGATGAGAAAGATAAAAGTAATACCGCCATACTACATGTGTAAATACACTGTACTTAGACATAAAACAATGGTGTGGGAATTAGCTGCTCAGCAGAGTGATGGCAGAAGATAAAAAACTGCCTGTGTCTTGTTTTGGCATGCAATGCCCTGAAGCAGGCTCCTGAGGGGATGAAAAGAAAATTAATTAGTTAATTTAGATGAAAGAAAAGTTAATTAGTATTAAACTGATTTCCATTAAAGGGAAAACACTTTTGAAACCCCGATCAAGTCGGTGCTAGCCTCTTCAAAATTATTCTAAAGCTATCTAGTGCAAGAGAAAAAGAACGTGTGGGGGGGTAGGTGTCAGAGACCCCCACCGTTCATCATTTCATTTCGCACCAGCCATTTTATCAACCTTGCTAAAAGATTAGATTTGGTCTTCTGGCATTCAGACAGTGGACTCTCCACGGCCTTTCACTGGGGTGACCCAAATTCTTTCGGCCTGAGTTTGCAAAAGCTTGCAAAAGCTTGAACAGACATAACTCATTTTCACTGGAGGCTTCTGGCATCCTAGGAATGTCAAATAGGTTTTGGCAAGGGTTAAGATGAGAGGAGGGGAGATAGAGAAGCAGCGGTTTAAAAACCAGGACACTACAGGACTGGAGACAGGAAACAGGACAGAAAACAGGGGAAGCTCAATTCAAGTCAAATTCATATTGGCTCATTTTAATATTGTGCATGATACCGTCTCGTGTTTGTCAATTCCCTTTTTAATAATGATTTTATGAAACATTACAGTTCAGAAGGTAAAAATTAATGCAAACCAACCAAAGGAATAAAAGAAAAAATAGGGCAAAAAGGAACAAGAAAAAAGCAAGAAAAATAGAAAAGAAAAAAAAAAGAATATGTTTAAAAAATTATTATAAATAATTTCTTCCTTCATCACAAGTATAAATCATTTTAGTAACCTAACTCCTAACAAATAACCTCTTCTTTCCATATTCCATCTGTAAATATATCCTTAAGGCCTCCTCACTGTTCATTCCTGATACTAAAAATTCATTAAATAGTTGTTAAGAGATAACAACGTATCTGTTTTAATCTTGATCAAATAAAACAACTTTATATTCCTTTCTCTTTTAACAATCTTGATCTTTAATCCTTCAAATATCCCGGAAGTTGATTTATTTCTATTTTTCCTTTATTCCTTCTCAACAATTTTTAAAAAAATCTTCAAAATGTAACAAGTGTCCTTTGTAAATCCAATAAAGGAAATTTATCTAGATCAATCTCTTACTTTATTTGTGTATCCCTTTAAATTATTAAGACATCAGCTGGTTTCATATGTACAGTATATCCTGTGTAGAACCTTTCTCTTGTAGCCTGTCATATTTAAAATCATTTTCAGATCAGTCTTATAAAACCTATACACTCTTCCATAATATGTTTTAAGCATAGTCTATCTATAATGGCAAACACTCTTAAAATTAAGTCCTGGGTCCAAATATGTTTCAAGTATCCCCAGTGTTAAAACATTTTGCTCCATTCTGCATAAGTAAGTCAAATTCATGTTTCCTTCTCCTTTAATTGTAATCTTCTCTTCCTTCTGATTCCCTGTGTCTATCCAATCTTCAGAGTCCCATTCTATCATTTTTTTAAAAAATTTAAAACAAAAGCATTTCCTCCATGGGGAAGAGTCTTATAATTAATTTCAACTCTTATTTCAAATCCATCTCGATCCTTAGTCCATTTGTAACTTTCCAAAATCAATGTTCAGGTTGCTGTTTATTTAAAAAAAAAATCCTTAAACTTAAGTTGGATTAAGGATTGAAGGAAATTTACCTGGTGCTGTCTAAAACTTGTCAATCCAGATTCCTAATTGCTGAAAAATTGCCAACAAGAAATTGCCAAATGTGGTTAGGAAAGAAAAAGGTGACCATGGCTTGAGCAAGATGGTGGTTGGCTCCCAGGACCAATTGTCCACAGACTTACAGACTTTTATTTATTTATTTTTTATTTATTGTATTTATTTATTTGTCAATAGCTTACAAGTTAATAAACATAAGTATAAATACAGGAAATGGGTACGAATAATTGGGGATAATAGGACAGGGATGGTAGGCACAATTGGCAAATGTTTAGCTAGTCAATTTGGGATGAACATCCTTTGAATAGTGTGAGAGTAGCAATGGATTTCTGGAGGAAAAATTGCACACTTACTGGAACCAGGAGCACTTCTTAGGTCCTCCTGAGGACACAGATAAATCTCCAAGCGGCCTCAACAACCCTCTAAAAGGATGCAAATGACCAGCCGTCTACAAGGAATATAAATCCTTCCATTCCTCACCATCCTGACAGAGCTGAAGAAGCTTCTTGGATGAGAAGCGATACGCTTCAAAAGACACAACAAGAAAGTCCAGTTGCCTCTTGAAAAAAGCACCTTTGGGATAAATGAAAGATTGTAAGTTCGAGAACTACCTGTAAGATAGAACTGGTGATTTGCATGACTTCCGCAACTCTGTGCTGAATATTTTTCTCGCTCCTCGCTGGTTTTGCAAGTTGTACACTTCTACTTCAACATTTTCAGGTCGATGACTATTTATTTTTATTTATTTATTTAATTTTATTTGTCAAAGATGTACAGGATAACAAGTATAGGTATGAACATAAACAGGAACAAAGGGAGTAAATACAGATAAATGGGGACAATAAGACAGGGACGGTAGGCACTCTGGTGTGCTTATGCATGTCCCCTTTAAGGACCTCTTAAGAATGGGGTGAGGTCCACAGTAGAGAATTTGAGGTTGAAGCTGTGAGGGGTGGAGGCTGTAACCACAGAGTCAGGTAGGGCGTTCCAGGCGGTGACCATTCTGTTGCTGAAGTCGTATTTTCTGCATTTGAGTTTGGAGAGGTTTACCTTGAGTTTGTACTGGTTGTTTGCCCGTGTATTATTGTAGTTGAAGCTGAAGAAGTGGTTGACAGGCAAGATGTTATAGCAGACAATTTTGTGAACTATGCTTAGATGTTCACTGCAGAAAGAGTGAGGCGCGAGCTGCCCTCCTGCCAAATCAGTTCCTCTTAGTGTCTCCTTAAAGACTATAATCGGGCATAGAGGCAGCTAAGGATGGCTGATTGAGAAGTTAGAATTCATAGGCAAGCGAAGCGTCTTTAGGACAGCTGTCTAGCCAAATGGGCCAGGCTTTTTCCAGGAATCTCCTTCCGTTCGGGAAGCTTCCCTTTTAGGAAACGTTTATTTCACTGCCTTTGAAACCGTAATGTCAAGTATCCGAAGCACTTAGAAAACGAGCACAAGGATTCCATCTGCTGCTTCGGTGGCAATTTGCATGATGCACGAATTAACCTTCAGGATGCAAAGCCAGAGACCAGATGCCAGCTTGGCATTTGTGGCACCGTTCTAAAGTAACCTGAAGGGAAATGTAGAATGGAATGGAATGTTACAGAGCAGGGCAGAATAGAACAGATTAGAAAAATGGAATAGAAAATTAGAATAGAATAGAGTATAGAATTAGAATAGAAAGGAGTAAAATAGAATATAGAATAGAAAATAAGAATAAATAGAATAGGAATAAACAATTGGATTGGAATGGAATGGAATGGAATGGAATGGAATGGAATAGAATAGAATAGAATAGAATAGAATAGAATAGAATAGAATAGAATAGAATAGAATAGAATAGAATAGAATAGAAT